TGCATATGCAGTGTTATGGAATATAGTCACATCCATTTGTTTGCGTTTACCTGTTGTCTGTGGCTGCTCTGGTGCTACAGTGGCAGAGTTGAGTGGTTGTCACAGACTCTATGGTCTGCAAAGGCCAAAATATTTACTGTCTCATCTTTACAGAAAGAACTTGCCAACCCCTGTTGTACAACATAGTTCAATTTAGTTGGATTTTGTTTTACTGGGATAGATTGTGCATAGTATTTTCTTGTCTTTTGATAATCTCCACATTTGAATTTGTGTCTTTTTCACTCCCAGTGCTATTTATATCTCTTGTTTTTATTCACGTTGTTTGGGATGACCAAAATTTAGCCTGACTTATTGGTAACAGTGTTATGTTGGTGTTCCATCTTTTACTGTGCTCTGCAGTAATTTAAATGCCATTAGGTTTAGAGATACATGTTTCTTTTTCTTTTTTCTTTTCTTGAAAGAGGGTCTTACTGTTGCAAGACTCTGGAGTCAGAGGTTGCAGTGAGCCAAGATCACACCATTGCACTGCAGCCTGGGCAACAGGTGCAAAACCCTGTCTTTAAAAAAAAAAAACTATTAAAGGCTGGGTGCAGTGTCTCCCAGCACTTTGGGAGGCTGAGGCAGGAGGATCACCTGAGATCGGGAGTTCGAGACCAGCCTGGCCAACATGGCAAAACCCCATCTCTACTAAAACTACAAAAATTAGCTGGGCGTGGTGGCACACACCTGTAATCCCAGCTACTCCTCAGGCTGAGGCATGAGAATCACTTGAACCAGGGAGGTGGAGGTTGCAGTAAGCCAAGATTGCACCACAGCATTCCAGCCTGGGCAACAGAGCGAGACTCTTGTCTCCAAAAATAAGTATACACTAGTGAAAAAGAAAAAAGTATGGTAGTATTAATCAGGGAAATTATCTGATCATGATAGACACTTTCATAAATTTCTCTTATTTCTTCTATGTAAACTAGTTAATCTATTTAGATTTCCTGCCTCTTCTATGGTCAATGTTAAATTACTCCCTCCTCCAGCTTTTCATATTTATAGACTTGAACATAAAGAAATATATTAATTTCAGAAGGTTATTTTTTTCCATTTTCATTTTTTAATAAAGTTAACTATTTTTCATAGAAGCATGCCTTGGATTTATTGATTTACTTTTAAAGTCATTGATCTCTCTATTATGTTTACTAATTGTTTCTGTTTATTTTAGTGTGTGTGGGTGTCTTCCCCCTTCTTGAGTTGGATGCATTATGTTCTTGTTGGAAATAAGGCTATGAATTTTTTTTTGAGCTCTGGTTTAGCTGGATCTCAAAATGTATTGTATGCAGTGTTTTCAGTATTATTTTCTTGGTAACCCTGTAGTTTCGTGTTTATTCTTCGTCTTGAAATGTACTTTTTTCTTTTTCTTTTCTGTTTTTAGCTGAAAAATTTGTGTTATGCAATTGAAATTTAAGGCAGATTTTTATTTGCTAGTTTTATGATGTTAGTGACATTACATTGTAATCCTGAAATATCCACTGTATTGTTTCTAGCCTTTGCAATTTATTGATGTTTTCTTTGCTGCTGTATGGCATGTATGTGCATGTTAACTTCTTATGATTGTTTCATGGGTATTTGTCAAAAAGATGTTACTTGTTTTCAAGGTACATGGCTTTGCTTTTTTCTGGTTTATTCTGTCTCCATTTACTTTACATGTTTTGATATTATGAGACTTGGCATATAAAAGTGCTTAATCATGTCTTTTTAGTTGTTTCTTATGAATATGAAATTTCTCTTATCCTTTATAATGCTTTTCTCTTTGAATTTTATTTTGTCTGATATCAGTATTGTTTTCATTTTAATTTTCTTAGCCTTTCTTGGTTGTGTATCTTCCTCTCTACTGTTTTTTTAAACCTTGCTGAGTTGTTTTGTTTAAGAGTGCTTTTTGCAAAGTTTATTGAGTTTGTTTTTCCTTTCTTAACTTAGTTTAAGAAGCTTTATCTTTTAGCAAGTGCACTTAACCCATTCACATTTATTGTGACACAGGTATTTTGGGGCTTCTGTTTAGCATCCTAGTTTGCATTAACCAGAACTTTGAAATTTTTTTAAATTCCATTTTACATGTCTGCTGAATAGATGAAGTTTTCTAATTTTCCTTTTCCCCCCCTTCCAATGGTTTGGGTGATTATGAACATAATTAACATTTTAACTACACATACACCATAGCCAGTATTAGTCAGTGTTGGTATTTGTTACTTAGCAACCCCCACCTATGTTCACTTTTTAATCCTTCACTCATTACTTCTGTGTCTTATTTTATATCTAAGATTGTACTTCAGATTAGCTTTATTTAATAATCAATAGTTACATTATCTTGATGTCTTTAGTAGTTTTAATGAAGTTTTCTGGCCCCAGAAATGAATACCTATCTCAGCTTTGTTTTCCACGTGGTACTTTACTGATGAGAAATACAGCAGTTACTTGAGTTTGAGGTAGAGGTGAAGTTGCTGGGTGACCAATATTGATGTTGCTTCTGAACTTCTGGTCACCTTTGATTTAGTGTTAGGGTTCTTATACATGCCTTCATATAGATCATTCACAGTTTTTGTATATAGGTTATCTTCTGGTTCTTTGATAAAAAGCATCTTCCTGCTCCATTCTCACACACCTTGTTTGGGCATAAAATTGTCACAATGTTATTTTTTAATATTTAGATTTTTAAAGTAATGAAGTGGCAACAAACCTGTATTGCAGCAGCAGGTAGCTACCACCTTAAGTTGGTGTTCAATTGCCAAATGCCACGCTGAGTCCAGTACCAAGCATGTAAAAGCTAAGTAAACATTTTTATGTTCCTTATAATGTTACATGTACAGTTGTCCCTTGGTATCTGTGACGCATTGGTTCCAGGACCCCCAACAGATACCAAAATCCATGGATGTTCAAGTCCCGTATATAAAATGGTGTAGTATTTGCATATAACCTACACACATTCTCCTACATACTTTGAATCATCTCTAGATTACTTACAATGCCAAATATAATGTAAATGCTATGTAAATAGTTGCATTGGTGTTTGTTTGTATTTTTATTTTTGGTTTGTTTGCTTAGTATTTTTGATCCATGGTTGATTGAATCTGTGGGTGGGGCACACATGGATGTGGAGGGCTGCCTGTACTTTATCTTCCTTAGGTTTCAGAGGTACTTTAGAATATTCTAGTGCCGTATTGTCCTCATGAAGTGTTTTTGATAGCCAGTATCTGCTTGTTACTGCATGAGGCACACAAAGGAATATATGTTATTGTTACATATTAGAAGCATTATGTTGTCTGGGAGACAAAATTTTCACCCATAATTAGGCCTAGAAAGCACTTTGCCCCAATTATGAGTAAGAGACTTGTCAGTGAGCATCAAGAATGAAAGCATTATAAACAGTAGATGGAATGTTTGTAATTTTTCACTGTAATTCTTCCTGAACTACAGTTCATATTACTTTAGAAAAATTGAAGTGACACAAAAAAAATAAAAGGCCAAGATCATATATTATGTTTAAAAAGTATAAATGACATAGAGTAAATTTACCAGATGTTCAGAGAAAGAAGATAATGGGGAGACCAGTTTCTTAGGTGGAGGGGGGGCTAGAGCTGAGAATGTGGAAGAGGAAGTTGGTGGTCATTATAAACTCAGGTGACCAAGGGTTTAATGACGTCATCATATCTATTGTAGGCATTTGATAAAGATTTCTTTTGGACACAATTAATAACTTCACTTCTGTTTACTGAGTGGTTACAACACCCTGGGCACTTGACCAAGACTGTTCCTACTTTATAGAGGAGAAAGACACAGAGGTAACTCAGATGGTGAATGGTGGGCTGTTTTAATTCCAGGGTGGGAGCTTGAATGGAGATTTTTTTTGAGTGTCCTCACCAGTAACATGGGGGTGTTTCACTTCACTTATCTGACAGTGGTATCTGTGAGGATACATTTAAAAATTTCATAGAAACATTCAACTGCTACCAAAGTATAAGGTGGTATTATGTCAGTCATTAACGAATAGCCACTGTTTATATAGCCTTATGTTCTGTGTTTTATAAATATGAAGACATTTAACCTTAGGATAGCTCTGCAAGGTGTAGGTACTATCTCCATTTTACCGGGAAAACAGCAGGCTCAGTTAGGTTTATACAACTTGCCCAAAGACACAAAGCTTGTAAAGGCAGAGCTGGGGTTGAAACCTGGCACCAAAAGCTCATACACCATGCATCTCTGTACTTCTCCAGCTGGGTTTACTTACACTGACTTCAGGCATTTCCATCTGTTTTCTTTCTTTACACTCTTTTATGAGTCAACAGTTTCCCTATTTGCAGTTTCTGATTTGTTTTCAGATTTAAGATAAAGCATCCAGATTATTTCTCTCATTTTGATTCATCTCATAGATACGTTATCTTTGTCTTTACTTCCACGTTCTGAGTTTGTCTTATACGATTCAGATTTTACATTTTTACATTGTTAACTTTGGCTTTTTGTAAGAAAACCAGCAGGTTGTTTTCTAACCTTGTGTTGTTCTTGTGTTGTCTTCCAAAGATGAAAAATAGAGACCAAACACATTAACCATGAGGCAGAATAAGAACAGTTGCCAGGGAATAGAGGATTCTCTTAGGACTACTGAAAATTGGCCACATTTGTTCTTTGAGTCATTGCAAGTTCGCTGGTTTTGTAATGATCAGATGATGTCTTTGACCAGAGTATAATGTGGGAAAAGGGGTAGTGAACATGAGTTGTTGTCTTGGCCAAAAGTCCTTGGGCCCTTATTGGATAGGTAGTTAGCAGAAGTGAAATTTGACTCTTGGCGGTGATATCTCCTAACAAAATTTGAGCCTGTAAATGAGGATATCCCTGCTCACGGAAAGCTTCTGGGTTTTTTTAGGATTATTTTTCTTAGTGCCTTTGAATTTAGATGGCTTACTTTGGAGGTACACTTTACTGGCTAATGTTTTCCACCCCTTTTCTTTTGTTGGGATTAGTGCCAGAACAGATAAAGCCCAGTGTAAGCCAGCCTCAGCCTGCCAACTCTAATAACGGCACTTCCACAGCAACCAGCACTAATAATAATGCCAAGCGAGCTACAGCCAACAATCAGCAGCCACAGCAGCAGCCGCAGCAGCCGCAGCAGCAGCAGCAGCAGCAGCCACAGCCGCAGCAGCCACAGCAGCAGCAGCCACAGCAGCAGCCACAGGCCTTGCCTCGGTATCCTCGTGAAGTACCTCCACGATTTCGCCACCAGGAACACAAACAGCTTCTAAAGAGGGGTCAGCATTTTCCTGTCATAGCAGCAAACCTTGGATCTGCTGTTAAAGTGTTAAACAGCCAGTCAGAAAGCAGTGCTTTAACAAATCAACAGCCACAAAATAACGGAGAGGTGCAGAACAGCAAAAACCAGTCAGGTGAGAGAAGGCATTTCTTACGAGACTCACACCTTATCATCATTAGCTGTATAGCAAGTTAATAAATTTGTAGCTTTTTGGTGATGTATTGGTATTCATCAGTATCTGGATTTTAATATAAGAGTTCCTTATAGGGAGTTATGAATGGGGAATCTTAAAATATTTCCTGTAAGTTACCTACTTTAAAATGATTATTTTACTTATTCTCCCTTCAGGTTCTGCCCATTTTAATAAGGAGCTTATAGCTAAAGTTGACTGTAAGACTGTAGCTAAAATTGAGCACCCTTCCCCCCAGGCCATGTGCTGAGCAGTTGTACATATTATTACAATTTAATGTTCAACAACGTTGTGGACAGAGTTCTTAACCTCCACTTTCAGTAGAAGCAGCTGACACACCAAGACATTAAATAACTTGCCCAAGCTCACTCAGTTACCACATGCCATAAAAAGACTGGCACTCATGGAAATTATATTCATACAGAGGAAATGCATTCAGTTATTTGCCTCAGAGTGACTTCTCTGAGCTTGGTAGTGATTGTGAGGCAGAAAATAAATCTAGTATGTGATTACAAGTTTTCTCAAAGCCCAGTTTGTTTCAACATGTTCTGGAAAGTTTTGATGGTCTATTAGTCTGTCCATTCATTCATTTATCCAACTATTTTAAAGTTCTACCACAAGCCAGATAGAGAATTAGGTGCTAGGGTTGAGGGGGGAATCAAGGTGCCCATACAAAAATACAATTCTAGAGGCAGTATAGCATACTGATAAAGAAGGAAGTCTAGAATCAGTCTGTGGCCTTGCATCCTGGTGCCCCCATATCCCAGTGTGTGTGACTTTGGGCAGGTTACTTAATTGCTCCATGTGCCTGAGCAGTCTTTCCTAACTGTCCCAGGTTGTACTCACTTTCTACACCTGTGCTCTCTTTTATATACCAAGAGCTACTCTGTACATTGTAATATATTATGGTATTCACAGTGAATAAGTAGCAGATCCAGGACTCACATCAAGATATGTCTGACTCCAAAGCCGTGCTCGTAACCACCATGCTGTGCTTTGGCACCATACAAGATGTGATAGGTAATGAGGAAGAGGACACAAATGTGAGTTTTCTAGCATAGGCACATTGTTATTGGAAAGGATACAAATTTAAGTCATTGTCCTGAGTTAATATTTACTCCTTAATTTCCCAGCACCTTATTACCTGTGTGAGCTTAGCCACATAACACATCTGACCTTCTTTGCTAATCTGTAAAACAGTAGTACCCAACCCTATAAGGTTGCTGTGGGGACTTAATTATATGGCATGTTATTAAAGGAGCTAGATTAATGTCTGATATCTAGGTACCGAATAAATTATCTTCCTAATAACTCTTATAGAAGGACCTGCACTTCTCAAGAAGAGTTTGGTTTAGACATACTAGATCTAGTGCCAAGTAGTAGGCAATTAGTAATTTGAAGTTCACCTGGGAAATCAGGTTGGAAGTAAATGTATTGGTCATCAGCATGATGAAAAATGCAGTTAAAAACTTTGGGAGAGGTTAGTTATACAACAAATGATGGAGTACCTGCTGTGAGCTAAGCAAGGTGGAATGGCACTGAACAAAACAGTGAAGTGGGATAGTATATTTAGAAAATATGTCAAATATGCCTTTTCACTTGGGGAAATGAAAGGTACCTGTTTTTGAAATGGAAACAACAAAAGTGTAAGAATCTTGCTTCTCAAAAATAACTCTGAGTCAAAAATATCAAAAGTGTTACAAGTGTGCGTTCAGATGAGAAGAAGGCCTCAGGTGTGGGCATAGGAAGAAGTCTTCAAAAAAAGGCTGAGAAGGAAAAACATCCTGCCTGTTTCTAAAAGAATTTTACCAGGGTGGACTGCATTGATGTGGAGGCTAAGTTGGAAGTGAGGAGGGTGCAGCAATCTAACTGAAGCCTGGATTCAATCTCAAAAAACAACTAGAAAATGCAGATGATGAAGCCAAGGCATTCCAAAGAAGAGCCAGATTTGTATTTTTTTCTCTCAAAAAATTTGTGAATCCCCACTTACCAGCATATTTTACATATTTACATTAAAACATCTTTCTAGGTGTTACTAGGATTGGTAATAGAAACTTTAGCTTGCAAAATAGACCAGGAGAGTCAGTGAAGGCTTCTTATGAGTTAGGTATATCCAGCTCCTACCAAGTTATTAATATTAATAACGATATAGTGGCTAATCCTTATGGAGTGCTTACTGTGCCCACACACTGCTAACTTACTTAATGCTTCTTTTACAGAGTAGATAGTATCATCTTCATTTTACAGATTAGGAAGTAGCCTAGAGGCCAGTGAAGAACCGGGTACTAGATAGTATAAACAGCGTGCACAGTAGCCCAGAAACATGAGCATTCTTTGTTGTGAACTACATGTAGTTCAGAATTGGGGAAGCGTAATGTTAGCTTGGTTTTTTGTTTTGTTTTGTTTTGTTTGATCAATTTGTATTTGGCTTTTTTATGTTCTCGTTTTTAATTTTTTTAGAATCCTGTGCTAGTCAAACTAGACAACTCTGCAGACTAGCCCTGGGCTGCCAGTTTGGGGCTGTGCCTTAGACATTTATTGATGGTTTAATTTGAGACTTGAGACCTCTTTTTTGCAGTTGACCACTTAGAACCCAAAGGGGTGAAATAACTCTTTAATATGGGGGCCCACAAACCATGTAGTGAGAGTGAAGGCTTTGGGGGGACCAGTAGGCTCAACAGGAGCAATATTGTTCTTATAGGCCAAAGTGTTATATCCCATTTTTTATCCACCTGACATGATCCATACAGAAAAGTTAAGAAGACTAGAATCGTGAACACTCATATACCCTCCACCCAAATCTGGTGGTGGTTAACATTGTCCCATCTTGACATACATCTCTTTCTCTGTCTCATGTATGCATACATGTGCACATTATTGTTGAACCACTTAAAAGTAAGTTGCAAACACTGACACTTCAACTTTAATACTTCACAGGTAATTATCCTAAGAATAAGCATAGTCTCCTGTACAACCACAATACCATTATCACTAAGTAAAAGAACAACAACAATATCTTCTAATAGTTTGTGTCCACATTTTTGCTAGTGGTCCCAAGAATGTATTGCTTGTTTGTTCAGAGTATGCTAGCGTTTATGTAAAATATAAAGCATATAGAACACTATGTATTGCTTAGGGGATGAATTCAAATGTAGTAAGATATAAAGATTTACATGAATGATTACCACTGGTATACCCACTGGGGAAGGAAAGAGAGAGAATACGAGTTTTTTCTGCCATACTAGTAATGTATTTTTTAAGGTGTATGGGTATATTTTATATTACTCTTTTATGGACTTTTCTATTTTTGAAATAGTTATTTTTTTTAAAGAAGAAGACATTTGAGGCATAATGGTGAATGACCAGTAATTGGGATGTTTTAACCAAAAATGTTAACATTAAAGTTTCTGGAAATGTTTAAAGGTTAAAATGCTGTCCATTCCATCCATCTGTGCTCTTGCATTGGGCTTTTAGCACGGTGTACATCCTTGCTGTCTTGCAGCTTCTGCTTGCTTGGAACTTGCACCTTCCCCTTGGATGATAAACAAACTCATATCTTCTCTATCCTTAAAAAAAAATTTCGTTAAGTCTCCATACTCTTTTTTTTTTTCTTTCTTTCTTTCTTTCTTTTTTTTTTTTTTTTTTTTTTTGAGGAGACAGGGTCTCACTTTGTCACCCAGGCTGGAGTGCAGTGGCATGAACACGGCTCACTACAGCCTCAACCTCCCAGCTCAAGTGATCCTCCCACTTCAGTCAGTCTCCCTGAGTAGCTGGGACTACAGACGTTTGCCACCACGCCTGGTGAATTTTTGTGTGGTTTGTAGAGAGACAGGATTTTGCCATGTTGCCCAGGCTGATCTTGAACTCCTGAGCTCAAGCTGTCTGCCTGCCTTGGCCTCCGAAACTGCTGGGATTAGAGGCGTGAGCCACCATGCCTGGCAAAATCCCCATAGTCTTTTGAGGCTATTACAGAATTTCTCCCTCCCGCCTTTCAGTATTATTGAAGGAATGGTCTGTACTTGCAGTCTTTAATGTATCACCTCAGTGTCTCATAATCTGGCTTCTGCTCACTTGACTAAAATAACTCTATTGCTGAAGTCACTGATCTTCTGAATGTCAAATGCAAACCTTTTTGTTCCCTCCCAAGGCCTTGTTTCAGATCTCTCCATATTTTAGGTCCTCTTCTGGAAGTCTTCAGTTGACGTTGGGCCCCTCAAAACGCATTATGTCCAAACTTGAACTCTTTGTGTTGCCCCCATACCACTTCCTCCTCCTGCATTCCTTTGCTCAAATAGTTGCCGCTCCATTCATCCAGTCGCCCATCTAGAAACCTTGAAATCATGCTTTACTCTTCCCTCTCCTGTATGTCTCACAGGGTTACTGTACTCTGCTGATTTTAACTCTTTTTTTTTTTTTTTTTTTTTTTTTTTTTTGAGATGGAGTCTCACTCTGTCGCCCAGGCTGGAGTGCAGTGGCGCGATCTTGGCTCACTGCAAGCTCTGACTCCTGGGTTCACGCCATTTTCCTGCCTCAGCCTCCCGAGTAACTGGGATTACAGGCGCGTGCCACTACGCCTGGCTAATTTTTTGTATTTTTAGTAGAGACAGGGTTTCACCATGTTAGCCAGGATGGTCTCGATCTCCTGACCTCGTGATCCGCCTACCTCAGCCTCCCAAAGTGCTGGGATAACAGACGTGAGCCACCGCGCCCAGCCAATTTTAACTCTTAAATACCTTCCACTTTTCCGTCTCCCCCCTTGATACTGCTGCTACCAGTTGCCCTGGTTGAGGTGTTCACCATCTGGTCTAGAGCAACATCCCCAAGAAAGTCTTTTGTATCCATCTCCCTGTCACCTTCACCCCATCTCTCAAACCAGAAGCCAGTCATGATTCATGCATTGCATTTGGTTGTGATATTACATTTGTCTTTTTTATTCTGGAACA